GAAATAAACAAATTTTTTACTGTCCAGCTTTTCTGGGGAATTACCTGAAACATTAAAATTTGAGGATTTTTAAAACTATCATTACAAGGCACTTTCCTTGAACAATTAAATTTGTCTCATATGTTGAAAGATTTTTTAGAAGCTGTTTGGAATTTATTTTTTCTTTAAATTTGCTATCAAAATTTCAGCATGAAGCAATCAGAGCACAAATTTTTCTTCAAATATTTTTTAAACTATATTGAAAGGTACTAAAACTTTTCTTAATTTCTGATATTTCAATAGATTTTATTTATTTACATATCTAGCTATTTATATTTAAAGATCAACAAATAAATCAAATTAACTGTGCTTTTGAACCTCTTAAGCTATGCAGCAATTGTATTTGTACATGACTCAATGTTAATTTTTTAAAAACAAGACAGTATAAGGGAGATAACTCAATTTTAGATATGCATAAAAATAAAGCAGTTGTTACCTCCCATTTATTTCCCCTATTACAATAGTCTGCCCTTTTTTCAGCTCAGCTAATGCCTTGGCTCAATTTTATAAGATAAAAGTTATTCTAAATTTAAAATTCAAACCTTATTAAAGGCACCCTCAGAATACATTTCATTTTTTTTAGAATGGGGTAATATGTTTGATAATGTTGTAATAATACATAAAGAACATGTGAGATGCTGATCGTCTAAAGAAAAAAGTGCTGAATATCAAATGATTTGTCATACTGTTACAGGTAGCAAAATGAAACAAAGAGGTATTTTTACTTCCATACAAAATGCTAAAACACTACATACATTTATATATAATTCTACTAATTGCCAGAACAAAATGTCAGTTATATGGCCAATTTTTTAAAACTGTGACAATGTGACAGTAAAAACTAAAAAGCTTTTGAAAAATAAATAGCATTCTTGTGCTTACTGAGCATTTATCATTATCTATCAAATCCAGACGGATGCATGGACACACATACACCAAACTTCACCAAAATAGACAACAAAGTCAAGCTAACCACCAGGGGCTTGACGAAAACTAACTCCTGATTGGGTGTTTTGATAAAAGCCTTTATAGAGCTATAAAAGCTTAATTAAGACTTAAGAAAATTCTATTTAGAAGTAAAGAAACCTAACTAGGATTTTTTTATCTCCCCAGTAAGGTCTTGGTAACCTCTACCTAGTAACTCCTAATTAAGAGTAAATTATCCATAATAATCCTAATAAGGCTTCTTCTAATTCTGATTAGGAGTTTGTAAGTCCCATAAAGGAGTTAGGAGTGATTGTGTTCTAAATAAGAGTTTTTAAAGCCATAATTAGGCTTTCATAACTCCTACATGGGGAGTTTAAACAAGAGGGCCATGATGGCCCTAGATCGCTCACCTGATTTATCAAACTCATCCAAACAATTACCTAGACAAGCATTCTGACCAAGTCTCATGACAGGTGAGTCAAAAATGTGACCACTACAGTGTTAACAAGGATTATCCATATTTGAGCAGTGCGACCTAGTTTTTTACCCAGGTGACACATATTCAAACTTGACCTAGAAATCATCAAAACAAACTTTTAGACCAATTTCAAGGATACTTGGATCAAAACAGTAGCAACTAGAGTGTTAACAAGATTTTTCTATTTTTAGCTCCGGTGACCTAGTTCCACATGCGATTTCGAACTCATCCAAGCAATTACCTATACAAGCATCCTGACCAAGTTTGATGATAACTGAGTCGAAAATGTGACCACTAGAATGTTAACAAGGTTTTTCCATATTTGGGCGGTGTGACCTAGTTTTTTTCATCCAAGATGACCAATGTACGAACTTGACTTAGAAATCATCAAAACAAACTTTCAGACCAATTAACAGAATATTTGGATCACAACAGTAGCCACTAGAGTGTTAACAAGATTTTTCTATTTTTAGCTCCAGTGACCTACTTTTTCATCCGAGATGACCCATGTTCAATTTCTTCCCAGCAATGACCTAGACAAGTTTCCTGACCAAGTTTGATGACAATTGAGTCAAAATTGTGACCACTAGAGTGTTAACAAGGTTTTTCTATTTTTAGCTCCTGTGACCTAGTTTTTCATCCGAGATGACCCATGTTCGAACTCATCCGAGCTATCACCTAGACAAGCATCTTGATCAAGTTTGATGATGATTGATGCAAAAATGTGACCACTAGAGTGTTAACAAGGTTTTTCTATTTTTAGCTCCGGTGACCTACTTTTTCATCCGAGATGACCCATGTTCACACTCATCCGAGCTATCAACTAGATAAGCATCCTAACCAAGTTTGATGATGATTGATGCAAAAATGTGACCCCTAGAGTGTTAACAAGGTTTTTCTATTTTTAGCTCCAGTGACCTACTTTTTCATCCGAGATGACCCATGTTCGAACTCATCCAAGCTATCACCTAGACAAGCATCTTGACCAAGTTTGATGATGATTGATGCAAAAATGTGACCGCTAGAGTGTTAACAAGGTTTTTCTATTTTTAGCTCCGGTGACCTACTTTTTCATCCGAGATGACCCATGTTCGAACTCATCCGAGCTATCAACTAGATAAGCATCCTGACCAAGTTTGATGATGATTGATGCAAAAATGTGACCGCTAGAGTGTTAACAAGGTTTTTCTATTTTTAGCTCCAGTGACCTACTTTTTCATCCGAGATGACCCATGTTCGAACTCATCCGAGCTATCACCTAGACAAGCATCTTGACCAAGTTTGATGATGATTGATGCAAAAATGTGACCGCTAGAGTGTTAACAAGGTTTTTCTATTTTTAGCTCCGGTGACCTACTTTTTCATCCGAGATGACCCATGTTCGAACTCATCCGAGCTATCACCTAGACAAACATCCTGACCAAGTTTGATGATGATTGAGGCAAAAATGTGACCTCTAGAGTGTTAACAAGGTTTTTCTATTTTTAGCTCTTGTGACCTAGTTTCTCATCCGAGATGACCCATGTTCGAACTCATCCGAGCTATCAACTAGATAAGCATCCTGACCAAGTTTGATGATGATTGAGGCAAAAATGTGACCGCTAGAGTGTTAACAACTAAATGTGAACGGACGACGGACGGACGACGGACGACGGACAATCATCGATCCTAAAAGCTCACCCTGAGCATGCTCAGGTGAGCTAAAAACCTAATTATCATGCATCGATAACTCCTATGATAACTCCTATGTAATAACTTCTAATTAAGAGTTACTGAGTCCTACTTTGGCTTTTTATCTTCTTATGAGGAGTTTAAAAGAGCTATAAAGGAGTAAGGACTGACAATGTCTTAAACAGGGGTTTATGATGTCATAATAAGGTTTATGATGTCATAATAAGGCTTTCACATCTCCATATGAGTTGATGAAGGCCTAATTAGGAGATTTAAAATTAAAATGAAGCCTGAAGTCCTTATTAGGACTTAAACTCCTAAATGAAAGTTTCTTGGTTCTAATTACAGCTAAATAGTGCTAATTTGGAATAAGTCCTATCTTACTAGGATTAAAACACATGATAAGTCTTATCTATTAAGTAGGAGTTACTATTAGCCCTTAGGTAATTTATACTTTTAACATCAATTTAAAGACTTGGCTTAAGGCGCTTTCGTATTCAACTTCATTTGACACTCAAATGAAACAACATTTTATTAATTATGTAAACTTGCTGCAAAACATTAGTTTATACACCGACTTGCGTTTTAAATGATATAAACATTTGAAAGGGAGATACAATTTAAAATAATGCATAACATACCTGTACAGTAAACAATAGATGAGATTTATTCGAAATCATGAAGACGAGCATAAAAACAAGCATCTGTTTTGCAGCCATGCACGGTAACATTGCGACTTATTTACATTTCAAGCTTCAAAGAGCGCCGACATCCTTGGAAACCCTCTTAACAACGACGATTTTTACATATTCATGCGTCAATCATGTTAGCGTCTGTCACGTAACTCCGCCCAGCTAAAGAACCAAGTTCCCGTGTCGAATGACGTCACATACTAATTAAAAGAGTCGATAACTTTCTCAGTTCTAATTGGTTATTGGTTAGTTCGGAGTTTATACCTGGTCAAATACTGCATCAATCAATTCGTTAATTAATAAACCTATTCATTCATTCATTCATTCATTAATTAATTCATTCAATCAATCAATCAATCAATCAATCAATCAATCAATCAATCAATCAATCAATCAATCAATTAATCAATCAGTCAACCAACCAACCAATCAATCAATCACGGCTTTAATTACATGAAAGCTGTGATTAAATCAATCTGAAAATAAGTTATTGTATAATTATGCTCTATACATGACTTGTATATTTTAAAATTGATAACATTATCGTTAATAAGAACATAAAAGTCTAAACAAAATATGTCCAGTGTATAATTATAATACAAGAGAAAGAAAAGAAAAGTTGCCAAATTTTACGCATCCTTTGACGAGAAACAAATTAGGCATGTACGCAACATCAGACAAGAACCTCTGGAAGACTCGGAGTTTATTTGCAGTTGAGCTTTTATATTAAATCTGTCGCGTGAAGAATTGCTTGTTTATTAAGATATCTTCAATTTTCGTCAAGTAGCTGTCGATTTAATTAAAGAATAAACGGCTTGTATTGGACCAGCTTCTTGTTTTCTACGTCAATATTATAAAGTCTAGCAGAATTGTTAGGTTTGTTCAGATGACGTTTACAAATAAATCCTCGCTTTTGCTAAATGTTTCCACACATTGGAACAGCTGTGCTACAGATGAATACGGACTTTAAAATATTTAAGGTTTTTGTCAAGTTAAATGCATACCATTTCTAACTTATTGCTCTGTTGATAAACTTGCAAAGACATGCAAATTAAATTAAACTGTTTAGGAATAAGTGTTTCTTAACTATTTTTACCACTATTTTGATTTGATGGACAAGAGAAAAGTCGTCTGAAATAATCTGTGTATTATTCTAAACAGTTTAACAGTTTGAAATTTTCAAAGTTTAAAAAATGAATTTAAGAGGCGTTTTGCCATTGTCTATCGGATATGTCAAGTCTTTTTGCGGATGTTGCGATGGCAACGATGAAGAAAAAATAAGCTTCGCAAAGTACGAGCGCTTTGATGACGATGACCAAGAAATGCAAGCTGCCAGCGAATGGGAAACGCTTGATGAAAAGTCTTTGGATGCAAAGGAAATGAATCTGGAACCCGGTAACACAATCACGGAATGGCAAGCGGGTTGGAACGTCACTAATGCAATTCAGGTTTTTCTTAAATCAACTAATAGTAATTGAAAAAAAAGCGTTGGTGTTTAATCAATTCAAATTCAACGCTGTATACATACAATTTATTAATATCAATTTTCTTTTAATGGTAAATGGGGAAAACTCCAGTATGTCTTGTTAAAGTGAAAAAAACTAACTGTTTTTATATGTTATTAATACAAAAATATAAATGGGGAATTTTGATTACAAAATAATTTTCTTCTTTAAAGGGACTTCGGGTTTCTTGTTAAGCTCACTTAGATTAATTTTAAGAAAACAAACTGGAAAAATCTGTTATTACATTTGTACCTGGATGTTAAACTTGAAAAATACACAGTTCTTTCTTCTTATCGCTGATTACATATAATGAGTTTACTAACACTATATCAAGTATGCATTTTTTTCAGGGCATGGTTCATTGTCAGTTTCCGCATATATGACTGTACTTCAAGGAGGCTATTGGGGGCAATAATCGCCATGGTTTTAGGAAGAGTAGCTTCACATATGCTGTTTACACGGGCAAAAATCCTTGTCACGAGTGCCTGTTACGATTAGGAAGACGAGATATATATACAGGGAAGAGTAGTTCGGAATAGGTTCGGTGTACGGTTATAGTAGCAGTTATGTTTGTTAGTATTGCGTGGAAGAGTGGTCCTCGGAAAGAGGATATTGGAGGTAAATCTTAGTGAACTGTGCACAGATTATTGAGCTTCTGATGACATGTATATTGTATGTACTTTTGTTTTTTCTAGTGGCGGTGATCTTCTCGATGGAAGCTTTTCCCGGATTAAATTGATTAAATTCTGTGCGTCCATGGAAATGTTGTTACCTATAGGTAGCTTGTTTCTTTCTGCTGTTCATGTGCATTCTTAGACGAGACCTTTTGAAAAGATGTATCTTCTGGTAGTGACCAGTTTTTGTGTGGCACTGTTTAGCTCACAATGGCTTATCAAATGAGATTGGTAGATCATAATAATTATCTGTTTGACACGGTGGAGTCGGAATGGAAATGGGTCGGAAGATGTATTTATCAGGCTAAGAAATAGATTAGTTTATGGACATTCTGCTCGCCAGAGAAAATCTCCTTAGGGATAATAGATGTTGGTCAGTGGTGTTACATACGATTTGTCACAGATTTTCTTCTCGTTTGCAACTTAGAAGGAAATTCTTGTGCAATCTTGTAGTAAAAAGTTTTATGTTTGCTTTGGAATGCACGCTTAACGGCACGCTTCAGGGTCCGTCACTCTTTTTAAGAAGGCATTATATTATTCCGTACATACACTGGGCGGTCTTTCCTTCTCTCTTCCTCGAACATGGGGAGTGTCGCACGCAAGAAGTGATTACAAACAATTTACCAACACAGACATTTAAAATTATTGTAAATATCATTTTAGTAGCCAAGGCATTGTTGTCTTATCCACTGCCATACTTTGCGGCAGTTGATTTGATGGAAACCGCTATGTTCCAAGGACGGGGTATTTCTGTCTTTCCTTCTTGTTTGAACGAGAAGAAAGAACTAAAAATATGGGCAGTGGCATTAAGATTCGGTTTAGTTCTGTTTACTATGTTTCTCGCAATTGGAATACCATATTTTGCTCTCTTGATTGTCGCTTAATTGGGAGGTAGTTCACCAACGCGGTACAAATGCATGCTAATGCGTTTTTGTTTTTTGGCCATGTCCATTTCCATCTACGTTTAAGATGGTATCGGATGAAGTGGTACGAGAAAACTGCAGATATAATTATCATTTTGCTTGGTTTGGTGTTTGGAAGTATCGGGATATATTACTCTGCGCATGCGCTGGCACAGGCGGTGCATGGGTTACCAACCGATCCGTACAAGACACACATGCCAGTAGCACCAAAGCTAGTGAAAGTTACCGAATCAAAGAACGACAAAGTCGGTTTGTAAACATGTCCTCAATCAAATTTAGCGAGTGACTAAAAATACAGTTGGATTTTGGCGATACATATTAAAGAATATATCACCCTTCATTATGTAGGGTGGATATCGCCGAGAGAAATGAAAACAAAAGAAAATAGTTGTAAATCGCACACTCAGTCTTATTGCGACATATTGTGGCAAGTGCATAAATATTCTGTGACACAGAACCACCCTCCCGCTCAGCACCGGGTTTAATGATCTGTTATTCCAACATTAAAAGGAGGCTTGGAAGAAAGCTTAAGTGCAGTGCAAAATTAAACTGTTATTCTGATGCATCAGCGCCATATTCAAAGACGCATAATTGATTACATATTGTATATGATTTAAATATTATCGGTCATATCTATACAAATATTTCATTGCTAATTGCATGATAATTTATGCTTGATAATAACTGCAAGGTCTTGGTTTGTTAGTTTGTTGTCCCATTTTAAGTGGAATGTCAATGTAGTCAAATATTACATTTTTCACATTGTATTCGCTACCATGATATTTCTTTTCACGAACTAAACTCATTCACATTGAGTTGACAAAGCGTTCTTGAGAGCTATGCGCAAAACGAAAAGATGCGTTAAGTATAAAAAGAATTGTTGTGTATGTTTTGTCGTTGTTTTATTTTGTAATCAAAAACAATTATTATTTACAATTAACAGAAAAAAGATACTGGGATATGTATTGGAAAGCACTGATCTAATAAATACACGCATTGTAATTATCTTAATTCAATTTAAAATTATCACATATACATTAAAATATTTAATATCACAGAGGTTATTTGGAATGGATAAATGAGATCACCAATAAATCAGCATTATTTAAATTAACATTAGAAATATGCTACAACATTTACATCGTCGGTGTCTTCACTTTCTTGTCTAGATCTATTTACTTCGCCACTATTCGGTTTACTATCATCTTCAATTTGGTATCCATAATTAAAATAAGACCCTTCCGTTTCACTATCTATGACAACAGAAGTGTCAGTTTCTAATGAATGAGCGACTTCTTCTTTACAGTTTTCAAGTGTATTGTTTATTGCTTCCATAAAGCTGTTTCTACGTAAAACGACGTCTCTTCTTGGAATTGATCCTCCATCGCTAGTGTCATTTAATGAGTCATGAAAACGATCATTCCAGCTGCGTAACATATTAGTTGAATCACCCTTAGATTCCCGAGAGATATCTGTAACGTTTGTACTATCTAATTCACTTTCACTAGTTACGGTTAACGTGAATTTATCTATATCAAAACTTGCGTTTGATGTAACAGAGTCTAGTCTAGATGTATTACAAGTTGAATCAAAAGTGTCGATTAGGAGACTTTGAAAGCCGTCTTTGCTGTCTAATTCTGTTGTTGTGTCACTAGTAACTGTTAATGTAAACTCATCAATGTCACGAATTGTATCTGATGCATTAGTTGTTCTAGACGACATCGAAGCGTGGTCATCACTGATTGTATTTTCGAGGTCTATGGCCGTTGTATAACTGGTCTGATCAGAACTGAAATTTTCACTCGAATGTGAATTCACTGGACGATTCCATTTCTGTAGATATTCGCTTGTCGGTTGGCTGATAACTGGTATTTCATTTTTCGCTTCTATGTTTGATAGCCTGTTTACTTTATTTAAGTTACTTTGCCTTTGTTTCCGAGATCTGTACGGTAGACTGTATGATTTGGTATTTCGACCAGGACGAACAATATCACTTTCTGTTTTTATATATGAAAAGCTGGTGAACGAAGGAGTGTACATTTGTGTAAGGAACTTTCACTTATTCGTGCTAAAACTTTTCTTCACTTACATTGTTTACTTTAGATGCATTGTCATCATCTATTGAGATAGCTGAAAAATCAACCCATTCATGAACTTCATGATAGTAAACAGAGTCATTAAAGTCATTTGTTTCATGGCTATTGCTGGCAATTGTTATCGTCACACTTTTTCATGACTTGAACATGGCTCTACCTCATTTGTTTTCATCTAACATTTCTAGTCTGACATCGAAGCTGATCAACTATTAAGCACTGCTATCAAGGACATCGCAATGTCTCCGTCAGTGTAGTCCTTATCTAAAGTTTTCACACTAACGCATCAGGTGTCTCGTTGTCGATTTCTTTAAATCACATTTTCAGTGTCTGTTTCTGTAAGAATATCAATCATGTCAACTGTATTGTAGCAGTTACTTATACCCAGGCATCAAAGTTTGTTTCATTTCCTTGTTTTTCAGCAGTGTGAGTTTCGATGACATCATCTAGGTTTGGAAATGAAACATTTCCAGTTTGCTATTTCTTGTAACTTCAATGTTGTTTCTTGAAAACTATCGGAGAGAGGGCAAAACCGGTACTTTCGTTCAAAACATCTGGTGCGATATATTTATCGTCTTTCATTGCTTGTTCCAGTCGTTCATTGAATAGAGAACAATTTAAGTTTCTCTCAATACGATATGCTTTGAAAGGATGGTTAAAGGGGGTGGAAAAATTTTGACAAAGTCTTAGCCCCGGGGATCTTTTCTCAATGTCGGTTACAGTTTTTACGTTTTCTACACTTTTTAAGGGGGTTGAAATGAAACCCCTTCCCGCACGTCCCGAATAAAACTGAGAATTGCTTTATTGATGCGGCTTTCCACCACTTCTCAAATTTATCTGTAAAAGTAAACACGTACAATTATATCCGGCTTAGTGAAAGGATATTTAAAATATACACTAAACTCATATCTCATATAAAGTTTACAGTAAGCCCGAATCAAAATGTATGTAATTATACCAGACACTAAATGATTGCACTTCACATAAAACGTATGAAGTAAAACGGTAGGTGCTACAGCAAACTAAAAAGGAGATAAAATTGCACTTTGTGCTCAATGAACTAATAATGCACGTAGCCAATTATTATTATTGTTGTAGTGTATAAATCAGAATTGTAAATATAAATGTTGTGCATCGGTATATCAATTACAGAATTTACATGTTCATTTGCATAGATATAGACTGTCACTATAACACAATGATCTTGCTTATGAATATCGTAGTGATTTATTGTAAACATTTGCTTATATTGGAATAAAAATGTTTATATCCCATATGCTTGTTTCTCCATTATAACATTATATATTGACATGATTCAAATGGTATTTCAAAATGCATCACTTACTTGATTTAACTTCGTTATTTTCTGATACGGATTCTAAATCATTAATATTTCTTGACGTTTTCCCCTGCAAAAACAAACACAATTCTTTATAAATTATGTAATTGATGTTAATTAATTCGAAAATGTTTCCGCCATTTTTCTTGTTTTACGACATGACGTCAATTTTATTTCCATATAATGGTGACCTTTTGTGGCCACCCTCGGCAATATTGTAACTGATTTGTAAAGAATACATAGGTTAACTTTGATGTTTATTGATAATGATTCTATTCTATAGGTTAATCACAATATAAAGCAATGTAACAGCACTTCAGGCCATTGTTGGTAATGAAGTAAAGAAACAATTTTTCGTCATTTTACGACATAGTTTAGCAGACATTAGATGTCGTAAAGTCACCAGTATACGAATCTTTATGACGTTAAATGTGCTAAATTGGATTTGTTTATGGAAATACTTGAAATAAAGAAAATTGACTGTAAATAAACATTTCATCGATTCTACACTCACATTTATAAGTAATAAAACGCCCACTTTTCGGCAGTCAATTTTTTTTCTCTTCAGTTTTCTGTTGCCACTGAATTGACGGATTTTACTCTAATAAATCAAATGTAACCACAAATAAATGATGAATAATATAGTTAAAATTGTAGTATGCGACTGTTTATGTACATACATACCATGTGAACCATGCAACAAAACGTTAACGTGGATAAAACATGCAAATTGAAAACAAAACATGCGAACAAACAAGATATTAAAACGAGTCAACAAAATAAAGAATGTTACAAAAGGGATAAAAACAAGGCATGCATAAAATACTGATAAAAGTTCAAAAAGTGTAAATAATGTAAAAACGTGACATAAGTTACATAATTCTAGTGTGATTGAAGGATAAAATTAATACAAGAAGTTGATGAAAAAGGTTAGTTTTTATCATCTATCACTTGGGGATTTTTTTAATGTCAAATTTCTGTCTTGTAACTCTTTTCTTTACGATATTGATATAACACAGTTTGTCCATATTTAGCATGCGTAGCAAGGCTATATATTTTTTTAAACTGGAAACAAGTCGGCTGCCACAAGCGCGCGCTAGTTTGCTCGTACAGACTTAAATTTCTGTAATAAAGACATTCAGAATATCACAATTTTTTCAAACTGTAATTTTGCTCCAGATATTTGACACTAAATCATGAACGTTTCATCCACTTTATCTTTTGGTTTGGATTTTTCGTTAACTCCTTTCGTCTGCAAAACATTATCACTCAATGTGACTTTGTAATTAAAATGCACGGAACGCTCGTGTCCGTCTGTAAGATACTGCTTCGAAATATTTTGTCCATGTCCGTTACTAACATCAGGAAATCGAGGAGCGTCCAGAATTGTTGTGTTAGAAATATCCAGAATGTCGTCTGCATTATTCACTTCCGGTCCCGGACTTTTAGTAGCATGCATATTGTATAAAGAAGGGGTTAGTTTATGATTGGCGGTGTAAGGAAAACGTGCTTGTTTGACTTTATAACAAACCTTTTTATATCTCCGGAAAAGAAGAGCTGATATTATAATTGCTATGACAATAACTCCTATAGCGGCGACAACTCCTCCTGCTATATAAGCAGTTTCGTGTGATTTACCTCCCTTTGATGGTTCGTCCTGGGGTATGCCTGCAACGAGAAAGAAATCTACATCTATATAAAATGTACAGAATATTCTACTGAGCTATCACATTTTTTCATTCTTAAAAGTTATAAATTTTTGCTACATGCCGTTTACAAATTATTTGTTTGAATGTTGAAAAAGAACACATCCAAAATACATGTT